TTTGAGAAACGATGTACAAATGCGCTTTACACAATTGATGTGTGTATGGATTGGGATAACAGTTGTATGAGCCCCTAATAAAATGTTAAAAAAGAGAAAAAAAAAAGAGAATCAGGGTTTGGATTGTTTGGTGAGTAACTGCATATTGAACCAGATAAGGCGTGTTTACACTGTTATCACTGTGAGCACAGAGGAGAGATGTTTCTGAGGAACTATTTTACTTTGCTTTGCATATTTCTTGAATTTGAAACATGCAATGACAAACATTTTCCTCCAGGATTGCAATGTATAGCCTAGCCCTAATCAACTTTATCATCAGGGACCAACTCACCTCTTGCTTCATCTATCTTTGTCTTGATTTCTATATTGACTTTATTTAATTTATTAAGTAAAAGCATTATATTATCATTATCCCTGTATTTAGTTATGGTCCTAAAAATGAGATACTATGACTTATGCATAATAATTCAAATATGGTAACTCAGGAAAAGTTAATACCTGCATAACCACTACTATATTTGGTATTTTCCAGTTAATTGAAAACTGTTCTTATATAGCATATCATTAAAAAATAGTAGCTTCTGCCTACCAAGTGTCCTATTTTTCCTATGTGTTGGAAATTGTCAAATTTCCAAGTTACTGAAAGAGGACATTTGATGCTTTTAAGGTAAAATTCACATTTTGGAAAATGATTAGTTGCAGAAAGAATTGTTCTTATTGGTAGCATATGTTTGATATACAGAAGCACGAAATAATTCATGCAAAATAACCCTAAAAGTAGTCCTTTAGAAAAAGAAACTTTTGTTCCTTGAAAGTCTTTTCAAAAACTCTTAGTGGTATAAAATCATATAATTTCATAAAATGATGTCTTTCATCATATCAAAATATCCAACTTTGGTCATCTCACTGCCTTACTACACTCTCTTATAATGAACAATATTTGTTGTCCCAGGAAAACAGCTATTATGAACATGTTCCAATTAGGAAAATCAGCCAGAGTTTCTGATAACTCAAAAAAATGAGAATTTGGTTTGTTTACCTATTCTAAAATTTTTATTTTAAAAGATGATCATATATTATTGTAAACAAAAAATATTATAATCTTAGGAAGCTCCTTTGAAAGAGAACATTAGCTATTTGTATAGCACTAGCTATATGTATGATCATATATAACAGTCGACCCTTACCCTAAACTGTAAAGTTTTAGGAAGTGTAACAAATATCCCTTGCTCATCAAGCTTAAAGATTACGAGCGTTCAAGCAAATACAGACGCTGAAAAGAGAAATCTTCTTTCTGCAGTGGCTCTCTGAGGCCTCCTCTGTTTCCCGAAACCAAGGCAAACCGCCAAGTCAGCGCCCACGGTCCTTGGACAATACAAGCCTTGATTCTAAGCAATAAACCATCATACGTCTACGCTGTCTATGACAGCACTTACACAGAGGTTCCACCTAAGTAACGTCCCATAACTAAGCTCTAAGTACTAGCAAAAATAGAGAAAAACATCCTCAAAAGGGAAAATAACGATACGCTAAAGCCTAATTATTACAAATTATCAGCATATATGAATGGGAAATATAGATTATCTTGGAAAAGAAAAAAATGTGATTTCTCAGTGAATTTGAATCAGAGGAATTTCTAACACGATCCTAATGTTTGGGTCAACCTTCTGATCAAACTTGCAAAGCTAACACATTCTATGCCTCTGCGTCTGGTGGCCTCGTGTCTGTTACATTGTCATAAGGATCTCTTCACTTTTGGATATGACCTTGAATTCTAAGTAAGTTTGCAAGGTCATTTTAAAGACCAAGCAAGAGCTTCTGGAGTTCTCAAAAGCAAACAAGAGGGAGAGAGAGATGGCAGAAGAGGAGGAAACAATCTATATTAATCTTTTTATCACATCAAATTGAATTAAAATAAAGGAAAGTAGGAAGAAAAGGAAGGGCAATTGGGTGAAGTGGAGGTTAAATCTTGGCAGTGCTTTCAATTTCAATCCCCATACACAAATGTTTTTTAAAAATAGAGAGGAGAACTTTCTATGAGACATGGACAATCCTATTCAAATGTTTGCCAATCTGAGAGTTAAATTGGATCATACTTCTAAAAGATAATGCAATATATCATTAAGAATGTTTGAACAACCTTCTCTAAATCTACATAGAAGCCCAAATCAAACCTATTTCTGTCAAGTGAATTACAACTCACAGTGACCCTATAGGACAGAGTATCATCGCTTGAAAGTGTTTCCAAGGCAGTTTCAGCATTTAACCACCAAGACCCTCAGGCCCCTTGACCCTACATTTACTGGTGAAGAATTTAGTGCTAGGCAGTACAAGTTAGAACTCTCAAAAAGTCAAAAAGAAGGCAAAGGAACAGAAACAGGTAATTCAGTAGAGAAACATATACCATATATATATGTATGTATATATATATAAATTTTTACAGAAAGTAATAGGATTATGTTTAATTTTTTTGTGTGGTTTGAATATAAAAATTTATTTAAGTCAAAGTATGCAACAAATAAAACCTACAGAAAACATTTTCTCGTCACAATATTTTGCTTTACCAAATAATATCTTTGAAAACACATTCCTTCAGTCATTATAAAGTTCTTAAAATACAAAAGAAATGAAATCTGTAAGAAAGTCTAGTAGACCAGATGCTTTTGCCAGGACTTAGGTTGTTGGGTTACAACTCAGTCCCTTCCGTGCCATCCACCTCCACTCATGCTGCCTTGCCCATAGTAACCTCCACTGCCGCCACCACCGCCACCACCACGGCCATAACCACCCAAGCCATCAGGAGTGCCGTATCCTCCACTGTAATTGTTCCCCATTCCCATTCTTTCAACAGACCCATTTCCACCCTGATTATCCATTCCATCTCTGCCATAGCCTCCCATTCCAGAACCTCCCATTCCAGAGCTGCCTCCAGGAGTAGAATTCAAGAAGAGTTCAATGTATCGATGCTGCATGTTATTTTTATCTTTAGACATGGCAGCTACTGCATCTTCATGTGTCACAAACTCGACATCTGCGTCTCCTGTTGCTCTGCCATCAGCTCCAATATCAATATGAACTCGTATCGGGTTTAGTGGTGAGAAGAAATTAGCAATGTCATTTTCAGTTGCACGAAAAGGCAACCCTCTCATATGCACAAAATGACCACCATGAAAACCTGAACTGGCATCACCAGCTCCACCATAACCATGTCCTCCCATACCTCTTCCATCTCTCATTCTGTCATCAAAGCCATCATTCCCATAGCCATAATTATTGTAGCCACCATAGTCATCAAAACCTCCATAACTTCCACGCCCAGCTCCATAATAACCCCCTCTTCCTCCTATTGGTCTATTGTATGGTCCCGGTCGCTGTCCCAGCAATCTTCTTGGTGGGTCATAAAATCCTTTGATTTCACTCCTGCTACTTCTGAAGATCTCAATATACCTGTGCCCTATTCTTTCCTTGTGTTTCCCCAGAGCATTTGCTGCTATCTCCTTTGAAGCAAACTGCACGAAGGCCTCCCCTGTGCCTCTCCCCTGGTAGCCCATCGTCAATGTTATCCCATTTGGCACGATTTCCAACCCTTGAAAGAACTGAACTATTTCCTCTTTGCTGCAACCAAATGGCAGTCCACGAAGTCGTACTGCCCCATCACTAGCGTCATTTGGACCATTATGTTTCATAACCCAATCCATCTCAATACCGTTTGATCTAAATGCCCCTGTTACTTCAGATACCCTGTCGGGAGACAGTAGCAGCGGCTCCGGTGCCCACGGGGCGCGGTCGTGAGAAGGGAGCTGTCCCTGGCCTTGCGTAGCGCTCCCCACAACGGCCCTTCCAACCGTCTCCTACGGGGACAACCGCTGAGGGAGCTGCGTAGCTGAGCGAGTGGCCGGGGGGGATGGGAGGGAGCGAGCGAGGAGCAGGATTATGTTTAATTAAGGCCTATTAGTATGCTTGGTAAAGTAGAGAGTCTGTGAAAAAGAGGAAGACCCTGGGTGACCTAGAGGGACACAGTGACCGCAACTGTAGGCTCACGCTTAACAATTTCGAGGGTGGTGAGGACCAGGCAGTGTTATACATTACCCCCGAGTCAGATCCCACTCTATGGCATCCATCAACAACAACATTATCTGTCTAGTACATTGTTGGGTGCTCTATTTAATCATTTTGTAATCTGTGATAATGAAGTAGAGGGGATATTCTAATACTGAAGGGTCCGGTGTAGAAGTTTGTCTACAAGTTGTCAGTAACACAATTAGAAAGTGGCAGAATGGTGATTTCAACCAGGTCTGTCTGACTTCAAATTCTATCCAGTTTCCTGTTTATGGTTATTTTGAAATGGAGTATCTTACTGTTTGGGCTGTGCTTACCTGAAACCAGAAGAAGCAATTAAAGCAATAAAACTACAGTGAATATTTTTTTACATATTTATCATATTCATTTTTTAACTTTCTTTCAACAAACATTTGTTTCACCAATTTTATTTCACTTGAATAACACTGTGGGCCAAAAATTGCAAGCAATTTTGTTAATATTTATCTACAGCTTTAGATGATTAAAAGAATTAGGTGAAGTGGAAGCAATGTGACCTGATAGGTTTTTTAAAGGTCCCCCAAAAGACTGGCACATATGCTGTGCTGTAAATGGTCTTTTAGAAGGGCATGACATTTTGTGTTGAAATAGCTCATATAAATCTCTGAGTTCATGAAAACATAGGTAGCATTTAACTATTTAACTAGGATAAGGAACCCAAGCCTAAAAGGATACCACCACAGAATAATTGATTACCTGGCATGGGGCAGAGGCTGTGAGCCGTGTCGTAAGGGTAGGACTTGCAAGCTTAGCCACCCCACGAAGCTGGTGTGTCCCAAAATAAATGAAGGACCCTGCAACAACAAATGCAATATCATATGGATACAAGTTCTGCTGAATAGTTAACATTTTATACCCTTTTCCCTCTAGCATATTATCTCTCTACACATTCAACTATTAGTCAGAAAAATAAAATCACGTTTTCACTTTGTTGTCATGAGCACTTCAGATACATGAATCTATGGCTGACTGGAATTTGTAAAACGTGGGTGCCTCGACCATAACTGGAATGGGGAGCAGCCCTAGCTGAAGTCCTGCTTGAAATGGACTCTGCCCCCCCTTCAGAAAACAAGGGCAGCACCCACAATGCACAGCAACCAGTTCTCTGGACCTACAGGGTGAGAACACAAGTGTTTTGCTGAACGATGGCAGCGGATGTGACTGCTTTTGAATGTGTCTCACTGTCCAAAATTTTGGGTTGAAACTCCTAAAAGGTCTCACTACATGTCTTCAAAGTCTTCCGTTCCACGACTTTGACCTACAATATTTCCAGTTCTCATCCCAGCCATCCATCTTTTGCAAACTCTGGTCTGTCCTGTTTTACTTCATCAGGTTCGAACTAATTTGAAACCCTGGCTCGCATAAAGCACTACTAGATAAAGAAAAGCATTTCATATAGATAACCTTAAACATCTGAAATAAAATCCACTGGTTAAAAATATAAATCACCCAAATAAGAATTTTTATTTAACTCATGTCATAAATACTTGAAATCCAAAGTAAAGGAGGCTTCTAAACGTACAATTAGATAGTTAGCATGGCCCTATGAAATTCCCACGGGCTTTATTTTTAAGCTTTTTCACAAAGCTGTGAAGGATATAAGACTCCGGAATGAGTTTGTTTCTCCTGGGACTTACATGTTTGACATTGTTGTCTTGCTAAGGGGGATGAAAGCTTAATTAAAGATCTAATCAGAACCTTAATATAACTGCTTTTAGATTTTAACTATAGCGGATGTCCTGACGGCGAACATACAAGAGGATAACATCTCATAGAAGCTCAAAGATCATGCATTTTGAAATGCTGTCAGGGTAGCCACGTTGAATATTGAACATGGACAAGGGAAGCTAAGCCAAGCAACATCAAGGTCTGACCAGGCCCGTTGATAATCAGACAATGATGGGCAACATGGAATGTCAACTATTTAAACAAACAAGCAAACAAAAGACCACATTGAGAAGGTGATTTTCCTAGATATAAATAAATGCAGATAGCACAGAAAGGCCATATTTTCAGAGTGAAAATGTTTGATTTTGTAGTTACCATCACATACCAGGGGGCTTCACGATGCTGAGGAACAGTGGGATTAAGAAAGAAAGAATTTTCCCCATAAACTTTTTGAGACCCTCTCCTATTTAAACAACCAACCATGGTTGCCAGTCAATGTTCTCTCTAAGTGGAGGCAATGTAAGGAGCTGTAAATAGGAAAATCAACTGAGGAGGAATAAGAATGTTATTGTTTGGCATTAAGTCAGTATCACTGACAACAATACACAGAGGAGGATTGCCCCATGGAATTTCTGAGCATGTAAGTCGGAATCAGCTTATTGGCCCAGGGTTTGGTTTCTAATACTATAACCTCAACTGCAGCAGATTGCCAGGTGTAGCCCTCCCACCCCCACCCGCGGAGTTGATGGGTTTAAACCACTGACCATTTGTTCAGCAGCTTATAACTTAACTATTATTGTACTAGACTCTCCTAAGATAAGAATTAACCAGACTACCATCAATTTAATTCCAACCCATTGCAGCATTGCTGCATAGGGGTCCTGAAGCTGTGAATCCTTACAAAAGCAGACTACGTCATATTTCTCCAAAAAAGATGGATTCAAAATGCCACCCTTTTGGTTAACAGCCCAATCCTGAACTCATTGCTCTGTAAAGACACAAATACTCTTCCAAATCCTAAGCCAAGTGTAAAGGAAACAGAACGCATGTGTGAGAGTGAGTCAAAACAATCAATTCTACTGGGATGCTATGTCATCGGCACACAGCTATATTCCAAACAAAATGTGTTTACATATGTCCCTGTCACATGTAGATGGCTGCAGACAAGGTCTGTGAGTAATAAAACTGATTTCGTCTGCTGAGGGTACCTCCAAAAAAAAAAAAAATCCAATCCAAACAGTAGCGTTTGAGGGAATTGACTATGCCAGTGAAATTTAAGAAAGGGGTCAAATAAGACGGTTATGGCAACTTGACAACTGTCCTAGGGTTCTTAGTAGGTTTTCTGGAAGGACACGAGACCATGGAAGCTTATTAGGAAGAAGTCTGGAGAAAATCGAAAACTGGGTTGCTGAGGACAAGGCTAGGGAAGATGAGGGTATGAATTCTTTTTCGTCACATCAGTGCTCCTTTTCCAAGAGGAGTCAGGGCTGTCCTATGACAACATGTTGGGAAGTCCACTGTGCATTCCTGATCTTGCCCTTCAGACTTCTATGTAAATTACAAAGTTCAGAATTCTTTAGGAAAGAGTTCGGGGTGGGGGTGGGTGGGGAGGTGGGGGATGACCTCAACTGTCATCGAGTCAAATCTGACTCATAACGGAGCTGGCTGGGGGATTGAACTCTTGACCTCTTAGTTAGCAGCCCAACCACTATCCCAAATGGAAGTACAATCCTCAGAAGTCTATAGAGGAGAAACTATACGTATGTTGGGAAAATATAGTTTTGCCTTTTGATTTTTTTGTTTAATAAAGGTGGATCTATTGCATTTGAATGATGGAGCTGGTGAAGAACATTGGAAGAAAAACAAATCTGTCTCGGAAAAAGTTCAGCCACAATGTCCCTTAGAAGTGAGGTTGACCAGACTTCCTCTGGTGTATTTTGGACATGTTATCAGGAGAGACCAGTCACTGGCAAAGGATATGATGCTAGGTAAGGGCAGAGGGCAGCAAAACAAGGGGAAGACCCTCGATAAAGTGACAAGGTGGATCGACAAGGTGGCTGCAACAGTGGCCTTGAACATAACGAAGGGGGAAGGTGCAGGACTGGTGGCCTTTCATTCCACTGTCATGGCGTCAGTGTGGGTCAAACCCAATCGATGGCATCTAACAACAACAATAATAATTCTATAGCCTTATTTTTTGACTCACCAAAAGACAAGCTCAGAGAATTCTCTTAATGTTACCCATAAAAGAATAGAGAAAGAGCATTCTAAAAAGAAACAAACAAACAAACAAAACCCCCCAATAATTAAAAAATCCTCACCTTCAAGTAAAATTCAACTGAATTCAAATTTTAAAAATTAACAACTATTCAAAAACCTTTATTCCATTGTCATTTAAAACATTACAAAATATTAAACAAGAAGTTAAAGAGAGATTAAAATAGAAGTGCAATGTTCTCCAAATCTGAGAGCTAGAGATTTAAATAAGTGATTTCCATAAAAGTAACTGAACCCATAATGAAAAGTTCTACAAGAAATGTATGTAACTTTAAAGAAACAGCTATTTTCAACACTATTCAAAAAACTTCAGATTAGAGAAATATGAAAGACTCCCTAATTCATTTCATGATGTCAGAATATGTTTATTTTAGAAAAAGTTGGTGAAAAAGAAAAATTGCTCCCTAGGGTACCCAGTGGGCTATCCCTGCTGTTTGCTTCAGCCTGCTGAGATGTTTAGGCATGAGGACGCCTAGCTACACCAGCTCACGTCTGCATTATATATTAAACTGTTAGTGTTCTTTAAAAGAAAATAGAAAAATCAAATAATGATAGAATAGTCTCAGTTGTAATTATAGACATTTTCAAATAAAATTTTATCAAACAAAAGTAAAATATTTATAAAAGTATTATGTCATGAATAAGAAGAGTTTTCTAAGAATTACATTTGGCTGAAAATATGTTGATGACCCAGTCAGGCATTCGTAATAACAACTCTTAATTAAATAAGCTAAAACTACTTAAATAAAGCCTAAAGAACAAAACTTGAAAAAATTCTAAATGTAAGCAACAAAATTATTTGAATTAAAATGAACTACATACTAAGGACTGTCACAATTATTAACATTATCTTAGTGGTCTAGAGAAAGAAGATGTTAGGAAAATAAAATCTCTAATAAATATAATGGGTAAGTAGAAATAGAGTTCTCAGATTTGATAATGGCATAATTCTAAACAAAAAATCACAAGGATTATATATTTTAATAAAATTTCTGGTATTAAAAAGAAAACCTGGTCAGGTAAGTGAAAAAGTAAACATTGTTACAGACACTTTAATTTATTTTAGTAGTAGAAAATCCTAAAAGTAGAAATGGTGATAAATGTCCTCAAAATAATAATAATAATAACTATGTAGGAATAAATTTAATAAGGAAATTACAGACTACATGAAAAACATTACAAAGTTTTGTGGCAGATAATAAACCATCTGATAAAATGGGAAAAGAAATGACGTTTATAAATGGAACCAATAATATTCTGAAAATATTAAATTAGTGAAAACTGATTTAAAAGCTAAATGTAATGTTCAGAAAATTTTAACCAAATATTAGAAATAAGATAATATTGTCTTTGAATTTATTTATATGTGCCTTTTAGAACAGGTATGATGGACTACAAGCTTAAATATGGTAACTTGGATTAAAGATATCCTCCAGATAAACTTCAAATTCCTAGACATTCTCTGTAAGTCCCTTCCTTATCCTCCTGTCTTGACTTTTCTATATTCTCTGTCCAAACATAATCAATCAAAACTAACTACATTTTTCCCATGCTCTTTCAGGATATTCTCTTCCTGATTTGATCCCTCTTCCCTTCCTGGCTACTTTTCATTTCCCTTCAAGATTTAATGAGTAGTTATGCTGACTCACGGCGAGCCTATAGGACATTGTAGAACTAGCCCTGTGGATTTCTGCCACTGTGACTCTTAACGGGAGTAGAAAGCCCATCTTCCTCTCAAGAAGCATTGGCTGTTTCTACCTGGTGACCTTGCAGGTTATCAACCCAGCCCGTAAGGCATCTCTATATCCATTTAATCATCCTCTGTAAAGCATTTATCGTATCTTATTTCACTTCTTTACTTTGTCTCAACTTCTGGGCTTAGAATACCTTGATGGCAGGGACGACTATTGAACTCTGTATAATCCACTTCTAGTGCACAGCATGGAGTCAACAATCGCTTTGAATCAAGAAAAAGAAATTAAATGATATGGGTTTGAGAATTACTCTCTCTCTCTCTCTCTCTCTCTATATATATATATATATATATATATATAGATTAAATCATTAGCAGTTCCCTTTTATTGTAGACTTTTCCCAACATGTTATAAAAGCATCAAGGAAAAATAATGCCCTTGGCACAAAAGCAAGAATTGAGAACTTACTCTACTAATAAGCAATGAGCTACTTTGGGGTCAATAGATGGATAGTCACAGTCTAGGCCCAGATCCTATCAAATCTAATTTCCAATCGTTGTAATTAAACTTTCTTTCAATTTTTTTGACAGTATTATTTAGGAATCTCAATGTGATATCACAAATGTGATAAAGTTCAATGGGTTAAGTAAATTTAAAAGAAAATCAAGAGTACAATTTTATGATATAAATGTGTATAGGCAAGGGCAATGGATGACATGAAAATATACACAAAGCAAAAGGGGAAATAAAATAAAATTTTTGTATATCAGAATGTTATGAACCTTTATTGTAATTCTCTGTATAGTTAGGGTTGCTCTATGTAAAGGGATTGATCAAAATGTGAAGCCTAACGAGTGATTAAATTGCATTCATGTATTTGTAGATTTATTTTAAAGATAGCACGAAATCCCTGTTCTCTGTTTCCAGAAAGATTAAACTATATTTTTTCCTCCTTTGCAAAAAATAGAATAGCTCTAAAAGGAAGGGAAAGTAACTGTACATAATTTTTGGCAACGACAGGGAATTATCATATAGCTTCCCACGACCTCTCATGCCATCTGTCCCACTTTTATAAACATGCAACAATCCAGACTTCAAGATTTGTTATAATGCACAGGGATTGAGACAGTGTCCCATCACCACACTGCTCACTGACATTGAGTAGATGCAAACTCAAAACAATTCTATAGGCAATACAGTGCAGGCACACAAAAAAAAGTTTAAAGAAGCTGTAAAATGCCCCAAAATTGACCCATATAAATAGAATCCATTGATATGTGACAAAAAAGTAAAAGTAACTCAATGGAGACAGGAGAGTCTTTTAGTCTTTTTAAGCAAATGCCAAAAATAAAAAGAAAAGAAAAATGATCTTGATACTAACCTTACATATCTCCAAAAACATTTCATGAAAAATGGATCATAGACCGGTGTAAAATGCAAAACTATGTATCTTCTAAAAGATAACATGAGAGAGAATCTAATTTATCTTGAGGTTGGTGATGACTTACTCTGATGCAATACAAAGTATAACCCAGGAAATTACAAATATTGATAACTGGACTTCACTAAAGTTCAAATCTTCTTCTCTGAGAAGATGTTGCTGAAATAATAAAAGGACAAAGTGCACCCCAGGAGGAAATACTTGCAAAATATACTACTGATAAATAACTTCCCTCCTAAATGTTTAAGAATTCTTAACATTCAACAGTAAGAAAACAAACAGATGAATTAAAACATGAGCAAAAGATACAAACTATCTATCAAAGAAGTTCTGAACATGAAAAGAAAGCATATAAACATATGTTTGATATTTTGTCATTAGAAACCCAAGACTTGTTGCCATCAAATCCATTCTGACTCCTAGCACTCTATCTAGCATTTCCAAAGCGGTAAAACTTTTCAGAAGCAGGATAGTCTCTCTTTCACCTGTGGAGCAGCTTGGGGTTTCGAAACCAACTGCCTTGCAGTCAGCAGATGGATGTTACGTAATAGCACCACGAAGAGCTCCCTTAGGTAACAGTGAGATCCCACTACGCCCCTATTAGAATGGCTAAAATCCGAAACACCGATAACAGCAACTGCTGTGAGAAGTTTGAACATCAGAAAATTTCAGACATTGTTAGTGCAGATGCAAAAGAGTACAGTACTTTTTATAAAGCAAAAGTCTTATAATTGTGATTGAATGGCTATGTATTTATTCAATGATCGGAAGCATTATAGGCACATAAAACTTGTACATGGGTGTTTCTAGCTACTTCATTCATGATTTCCCAAAGTTAGAAGCAGCCAAAACACTCAGTGGGTGAGTAGATAAACAATACTACATTGATACAATAAAATATTATTCAGTGACTTAAAATACTTGTTCTCAAGCCTAAACTCCATTCATATATCTATGGTTTATATATCTCTGGTCCATTTTAGAGTCAACATTATTTTATTATAGAGAACATTATAAATCATTCCCCTGGAGCATAAGGTAATTCTATTGATAGGATAATTTAGCCAATAGTATAAAATTTAAAACACTGATGAGAAAGGAAATTATACATACATAAGCCAGCTTTTAAGTCTGAAATGCATGAACTTTTGACTTGTACAGATTAAGCTCTGACCTGTTCACAGAGACTACACAGGGACTGGGCACTATTTACATAAAAAATGGGGCTTAGTGATAGAACAAAACTTTCAGTAAGATTCATTCACAAAGGCAGACCCTACCTGCCAGACAAATATACGTAATAAGAGCAAAGAGGACATTAAAATAATAAAGATTTGGTAGTCCCAGCCCACCATTCATTGGGTACCCTCAAAGCAAGGCATCTAAGCCAATGTCTAATGACCATTAATCCTATAATGTTGGAAGAGTAATCATTTATTTCTTATTACATTAGGGTGTTCTCAGCCTTAAGTCCAAGGGTGCATGTCAGTTCCTTAAATCTGCTACAGGTGAACGTGGGGTCAAGCCCATTTCATTCAGTGGGGTTTCCACATCGAATCCTACTAGTCTGGCCTAATAAGGATGTTGTGTGCCTTGAGAGGGCAGAGTCTAAAGTCCCACTAATCTGTACACAGCCCTAGGTCCCCAAGGACTAGATATTTTAAAAAGCATCCAATTAAGAACATAGCACTGGGCTTATTCTCCCCATGGGCTTTATATAATGCATATACTCGTGTATAAGCCGAGTTTTTCAGTATATTTTTAATGCAGTTTTTGTGGTGAGATTAGGAGCCTCGGCTCATACTCAGGTCAGCTTATACTTGAGTATATATGGTAAGTATTTTTAAGCATTTTGGTTTTGTTTTTTTCCCAATGGGAGATTGTGCGACTTGGTTAAC